CTCGATCGGAACCCCGGTGGTGTTCAGGCAGGGTTGAATTATTGACGGACAGAAAACGAAGAAGGGATAGGATGAGGGCAGAAGTGGTTCGAAAAGTGAGCTTGACTCAGGTTCGAATCCCAACTGGGACCAATGTAGCAAGGAAAACCCGTTCAAGTGCTCCGGTCACCCCATTTTCATCAGCCATTAAATTTGAGTCTTGATGGTGGGCTTATCCTTCATTAATCATGTTAAAATGCTCAGTTGTGATTGGTGTTATTTAGTTTTAAAGTTCACTTGGCTTCTATGTTTAATAAAATAATACATTTCCATCCAAAACATGAACATTTATCGGTGATTACAAACTTTTATAAGCTAGTGTAAGTCCACAACGGCGTCAACTAAATGCTGATTTAAGACAATCTGCATCTTCATTGTACGATTGCTGAATTTCAAATCGTTGGACTCCAACTCTAATCCCCCCCCTTTGGCTGAGCTGTGAGCACAAGCATAAAACTTCCTCCGATGGGACGAGTGGATGGCTGGATGCTCCTGGGCCCTCTCAGCTGTGGTGTCAGCCCGTGACCCCATCAATCAGGACAAACGAGACGGGGCCCTGACAGCGTGACCGGGGCAGGATGATCGGTTCACCAGGGAGCTCCTGTTGGGATTTATAGCCCGGCTGTGTTAACCACGACAGCGAGCGGACACCGGATTATCAGCACTCGAGAGCACTCGAGACTTCTATTAAGATATCTTTCAGTTTTCTTACTTCTTACTATTTCACAGACAACATCAGCCGCCCTGACAGATGACTAAGAGTGAGAAATGAATACCAAGTCGTCTCCGGCCGAGACACAGACAGAAAGTTTCTCATTTCCCTGAAGCGTCTTTTGCTCAGACAGAGGAGGCATCTGAGACACAAGGCTGCTTCACGTTCTCACTTTTCCTTAAAGGAATACGTTGACTTTTTAAAAAAAAAAAATACGCTCATTCACTCTCCTGTCGAGAGTTAGACATTGTACGTTGAATATAAGGTCACAGCCAGCAACATATACTCGTACTGAAGGTTTCTACGATATCACACCAAAAATGATTTTGTTATTCCGAATAAGTTTTCCTACAAATGTCCAGCAACACGGGCGATCATAGGCAACAAGCTATGTGACAATTAAGTCAACATTTACTTTGGGGTTTCACACGGGACACGTACAGCTGTCTCCTGGGTGAAAGTCTTGGGTTTTTAGACCCACCAAGTTTTCACTGTTTAAACCCTTAAAACTAAGGATGTCTTTTCAAAACTGTTACTCTAATACGTAATATTAAATAGAAACATCTCTGAATATTGTCAGAGGGTTTTCAGCAAATTAGGGAAGAGGAAGCGTTTTCTGTCGCATTAAACATTTTTCTCAACATTCCCAGGAGATCTGAACTGATGACCTGCAGCTCACCAAACTGCTTGTATCATCAATACATGTCCAATATTCAATTTTAGTGACTTAAAATAAATAATGTGAGTTTAATAAAGGGCTCAAGATAATAATGGAAAACATCACATGAAAAACAGCCAGCCAGTTCATTGAAAATGGGGGGCGGGGTGACACACTCTTCCGCACGCTCATGTTTTATGTAGTGAAAAGAAGCAACATTTCAGCACATAACGCCTTTATCAGGCTGTCTCTCTGCCACAGAGAGAGACAGACAGAGAGAGAGAGAGAGAGAGAGACAGAGGGGAGATTCACTCTTTCCACATTCCCTGCTTTGTCAAAGCCACTCTGTGACGCTCTTCTTTTGTTAAGAGAGAGCTGCACAAGGTGCATCATGGGAACAGAGGAATCTGATGACGGGAAGCATTTTGTGAGGTGGCAGGAGCTGATATTACACATCCTATTATGCAATTCAGTAAACAGCTGCCGTCACACACTCGTTCATGCCTTGAGTCGTTAAAAGGTTCCGAACAGTTTGTCTTCCTTCCTGGATATGAATATGTACGCAGATACAGTAAGTGGTATTTTCTCACTTTCGATGTCGGTCACTCAGGATGCTCAGTTTGGACGCATGCGGCCAGAGACAGCCCCGCCCAAAGGGAGCGCTGATTAGTCAAAGTGGGGAGTGTTAAGTGTCGACAAGGCTGATGACGGAGTCGCTTAGTGGACACTTCCTGCTCATCGGTCACACAAAAACACAAGTTCCTGCACAGCCTTCTCTAGTCTTGCGTCACGATTCCTTGAAATGTATTGACCAGCACACTTCTGCTGGGCGTTGGCCCAGACCTTGATTGGTTTCCAATAAAAGAAAAATGACTCCTTTATTTCATAATTTTCTTTTTTTTTCCTCCACTTAGTGTGTCAGAGAGACTCAGAAAAGAGGTCCGGTCCACGTCTGTCACAACTGATTCATTTGAGACTCAAAGGCACGAAAAGGGGGACAAAAAGTTTTTTTGGAGGGAAAAAAAACAAATGATCAGACTGATGAGGAGCGAGTGGATCTTATCTGTGACCTGACTCGCACAGTCTGAGCAGGGGAATGTGGGTGTGTGTTGGGAGTGTTTGGGAACACAGGGGCTGGGGTGTGATGGGAAGTGGGAGGTTTACAGGCAGGGCCTGATCGAAGGTACTGCAGCTTATATCCTTATAAGGACAAACCTGGACAAATTAGCCACGGCAGCTAACACCTGAACTCCACCTTCCAGCTATGACAACAGAAAGAAATGTTAGAGACTACGTGTGCGTTTGTTTAACAGAGGTGTGATGTGACTAATACATAAACAAAATCCCCTGTTTGTTTCGGTGGAACTATGTGTGAGCTGCAGCTTTAAGTAACATCTGGCAGAGTGTACCTGAGACACCTGGATCTGCAAAGACATTCAGATTCCAAGATAAGAGGATGCCAGCGCCTTTATGCCCGGGGGTCAGGTTAAGACTTGCACCAGACTCAAAATATTTGAAACACCCTCTGACATGCCGGAGTTGCGTGCGTCAAAGTGAATTGCAAAATGGAGCCAAGCAAAAAGTCCTCACCTGTGCAATTTGTACTTCTCGGTTAGTTTCATTTTTCCCCATTATTTTCATTCTTTGACAGTCTAGTTCATCTCTTGGTTAAAACAGGTTTACTTTGGTGATCAAATATTTGCCGTTGCTTCTTGACAAACAACCTAATAGTCTTAAGGCTACAAGTAAAGCAACACACACAGAAGATGACTGAACCAACAGACTCTAAGTAAGCGCCTCAAAGAAGCTGGTTGATTCATTGAAACATGTCAGAATTTTAAATATCTACATGATAATTATGCTTTTCTTGATTGGAAACAATCAGCAAACATGAAAAAGCTTCTAGGTCATCTGCTCATCAGCAGCAAGAAGCTGATTGCTGACGCTTGGAGGCATATGGACGAGTGTGTGTGCGTGTATAGCTCCACTGGCCCTGTGGCTGCGTGTGTGGCTGTGTGTGTGTGTGTGTGTCTTCCCTCTCAGACTCTCAATGTGTTGTCTAGTCAGATCTCAACATAAACACTTATCGCTGCTCTCTGTGGAGAGAAACATGAATAAAACATCCCCCGCTCTCTGCAGGATGGTGAGATAAAAGGGGGTCATCAGAGGAAAGTATTTCACTCATGATGGAAGGTCTGTGATCCAGGCTGGAGGGGAAGTGTGAGCTAAACTATCAGGTGTCACGTGCACACTTTTCTCTTCACAGCATCAAGAGTTTAAGGCACTGCCCAGCCCTGCCTGCTGTCCACACCTGACATCAGCGCTGCATACCTTTCCCTTTATTTCCGTTCAGTTCGCCTTCGACCGGTAGCAGCCTGCCGATGACATAATCCATGAAACTAGGAGCTGAGAGTTTGCAGAGCAAAGGGAGAAACTTGTAGGGGGGGGGGAGTTTTCCAACGGCAGCGAGAGGGGCCGATTATTACCATTTTTGGGCACGCTTGCTCCCATGCAAGCCCAGCCCAAACCGCAGCGCATACTCAGATTCCACAGCGCTTTTCTTCCCCGTTTTTTTTGTTTTTTTTCTCAAAAGCGCAGGACAAACGTTTGAGGAGCAAGGGAGGGAAAAAAGTAACACCCCTTTCTCGAAACAGACCATTCATATTCATACTCAGTCTGGAAACGCACAAAAAGAGCAGCAGCTGTTGGACGCGTGTAGGTGATTTGGGCTCGTAAAAGACAATGTATGGATGTCCTTCAGCGCTTTGTTATAAAGATTGACCCGTTGGCGCGCCGGGTTATGGAGCTGGTATTCATCCAGTGGGGGAAATGAACGCGGTAATATGTTCAGAGATTAAAGAAGAATCAACTAACTCCAGACTGTAGCCATGATACATCAAACAACCTCCCAAATTAAAAACACATTAAACATGGATGCAGACTCCGCGCGTAAATGCGCCAAAACAGCCAAATAAAGGAGACGTAAAATGAGTTATTGTGGGTTTAACCCCCTCCTCACACACCCTAACACACACTCCAATCCCCCAGTTGCGAAGCATGGCCTAATCCACGTCGCATCATGAGCCAGATGACAGGAGGGGCCAGTCCCACACCATATGCAGTCAAGCGCATGGCTGACATCTGTTGCGCTGGAAAAGGTGGGCGTCCAGTCCAGTTTTTAATCGTTTTTCTGACCCCCTCTTTTTTTTTTTTTTTTTCCCCCCCCCTTTTTTTTTTTTTTTCCCCCCCCCCCCCCCCCCTTTATTCTGTCCCTCCTGCTGCAGGCTATTTCATAACGCTACACAGGATATGAGTGCGAGATGTGGGGGCGAGAAAAAGTTTTGAGCTCACCAGATAAAAAGTAGCTGAGAAACCCCAACAGGTGATCACCAACGCGATAATGAGCTTAATAATTAAAGCAAAGAACCAGCCGGTTTGCTGCCTCTGAACTCATCAATCTGCGGCCAAAGTGATCACTTGTAATCAATGTGCGACAATAATATTAATCAGCTCCATCGTTGGTATCAGCATCGCAAGCAACAGCCGCACTTCCGCACCTTTACACCGGAGGTAGAAGGAAGTCAGTCTCACCTTTCTCTGCTGCTTCTCCCATGCAGGATCCAGGAGGAGATCCCGATCCCAGGCATCTTCCTGGTGCATGTAATCAATTTCGTCATCATCATACTGCTCCATGTTATACATGTATCTCTAAAGCTTTAATATAATATATATATAGACGCTCTCTGCTTCTGTTTTAAGCTGTGTCCACCCGGTCCTCGGCGCGGAGATGTTTTGCAGCGGTATATCAGCTCGATCTACTCTCCGCCACGCATTCAAGACGGTGTGTGGATGAAATTAACGGTCCACCCCAGGCCTCGCTCTCGCTCTCTTTCTCTCTCTCTCTCACCCTCCAACTCTGCCTCTTTTCTCTCTCTATCTGCTCTAGTTTTCGCCCAGCAGCAGTGCTCCGCGGTGGGTAAGCAGGTTCTAGTGGAGAGGAGCGACGGACGCAAAAACTTTGCTTCAGACAAATTGAATCGATAACCGACCGAGGGATCTGATTGGACGCCGCGCGTGCGCACATGAACCGCCTTCCATGCGTGGATTGGCTGGTTCGGCTGTCAGTGCGCAGGCTTAATATCCAAGGTTGCCTCTTTAGGTTGATCCGAGGATACTGTAACGCGTTACTTACGCGGTGTAAGTAAATCTCTTAAAGTTTTTAAGAACAAACAAAAAGAAAAATAATGTTAATGTTTGGTGTTTTTTTTTAAGCTGAGGAGTTGTTCTTTACTTTAGTAAAAATAACATTTACTCAAGTACTGTAGGTTACTGTTGAGAGTAATGTATACTAGGCTATATTTATGGATAACAATTATTGACGCATCAATGTGTACTTTGCTTTAGCCGATATACCTTCATCTGCTGCGTGAAGTGAAGTTTTGTCTTAATCTAAAATATTACATCATACATTTGTAATATTGTTATTTTGTACCATTAATCGAAACATATTGCAAGTAACTACAGCTATAACATAAAGGTACTGGAGTAATCTGAAATGTAGTGGAGTAGAAGTTGCAGAAAATGTATTCAAGTAAAGTACAAGTACTTCAAAATTGTACTTGTGTTTCTTTCCAACACTGGGGGTCAGATAAATCTCTGGAAAGTGACGAAGTACATTTACTCACGAAGTGCACTTACGTACAATTTTGAGATACTTAGATTGTTTTTGAGTATTTTAATAGTATGCTACTTATACCACACTAAATGTCAAAGGCAAATGTTGTACTTACTACTCCACTACATTTATCTGACAGTTGGAGTTACTTTACAGATAAACAAAACATATGATCCATTTACATAAAATACTGTGATGAAACTATCCAGCAGTATATAGTTAAACAACATTAATATTATACTTACAGGTTGAAGAATCAGGAATAACATTTCACAGATATGCCATATATAATAAAACTCTTTAGAAAGGACCATTCTGCCGAACAAGTACTTTTACTTTAAAGGTGCAGTAGGAGGAGGTGTAGGATTCGGCAGCATCTAGTGGTGAGGTTGCAGATTGCAACCAACTGAAACTTCTTCCAAGTTTGAAGCGAGTAGGAGAACTACGGTGGCCCACACGAAAAACACGAAAGGCCCCATCTAGAGCCAGTGTTTGGTTTCGCCGCGCTGTGAAGAGGAACAGTTCCATATGTCGGTATAAATGGCTCATTTTAAGGTCACGAAAACACGATTCTTATTTTCAGGAGATTATATTCCATTTCTGCCAGTAGATCCCCGAAAATGCTACACACTGTACCTTTAAGTATATTGCTGTAAATATTTTGAAATACTGAAATATTGAACTACTTGTAACAGATCATTTTTACTGAGTGGCATTGCTTTTTGTACTTCAGTAAATGATGAAGTAATGATGAAGTACTTCCTCCACCACTGATTTCTATATGTATACAGGCCATTATTGAGCTGTGTGAAATACAGCATTTGCACTGCACACGCTCACAACAGACTCCCAGTCATTCAGAAAAGAAAGGTAAGTCAACGAGGCTCCTGTAAACATGTGAAGGGAATGCCAGGTCTGTCTGCCTTGTAAGGTAAACCGACTCTCCCTCTCTGTCTGTCACACACACACACATATTCACAGTCTGACACACACACACACACACACACACACACATGCACACACTCGCACAGAGCAGGAAAGACACACGGGATAGCCCCGGCAGTCCGGAGAAAGTGGAGCGCTCTTCCATATATGGACAAACTTCCAAGGGTGAATGTTTGGGAAAGTGATGTCACGGACCGGGAGCCGACTGCCAGCTCACCGCTCGCCCAGGTCCCAACGGCAGCCTGGTGGTGGTGATGAAAGTCAGTCACAGAACAAAACCAAAAGTAGCTGACTGAAGCAGGTTCGTAATGGAGTCTGGAGATAATTATACACTTGCTTTTTTTCTCTCCATTAACTAATTAAGCTACAGTCGTTTGAAAAACAAAGTGATTCAACTTTACATTTAAATTAAACTATTAGCTAAAAGATTATACAATGTTCATTATATGTGCCAATTAGTAGTTCCATTTCATTATTGTGGCTTTAAATAATGAATGATTTAATTAGCTTATAAATGGATTTGCAAAAAACATTGGAACCATGAGTCTAAAGCCATGTTAGCAGCTGTACTAGGATCAGGGCATGTGTGTCTCTTGATATAAATAACAATGTAAGTGATCAGTAAGGGTTCAAATCACAAAAGAACGAAGGGAGACGGTCGATTAAAATGCATTTTGAAAGGTAAAAATCTGTTGAATCACTGTGGAGATATCCCCAGAGAAACATACATTTAACATTTGCCCAGGGGGAAAAGCAATATGCTGAGAACATAAAACACTCTGAAAGGTCTCCTGAATGTGTCATACTGAGAGGATATTGAGCCGTGGAGCAAAGGACCCTGGGAGTAGATACGCTCCTGCTGTACTCAGGCACAGCCGTGCTTTGAGTTAAATAGCAATGGTCACCATGTTAACCATCTTAGTTTAGTATGATAGCATGCTAACATTGGCTAATTAGCACTAAACAGAGCACAACTGAGGTTTATGGGAATGTCATTAGTTTAGGTGTTTGCTCATAAAATAGTGCTGCAGGAATGAGTCCTGAAATGTGTAAATGAGTCAGCATTTGTTTTTTGTTTGAAGTTTGTGGCTTAACACAAGCTTAGGAGATTTCAACGTTTTGTTCTACGACATAAAATACGGCAGTGAATATCCCACTTCTGAATGTTGAAGCTTTACGGGGTTTTAGGGTATTAAACATGCAGCGCTGACCTGTGTGACCTGACCCTTTCTTCTTCACACAGCCAAGCTACTCACAGCTCCAAAAATATCCGCGTCAATTTCCAGGCTTTATTTTAGATAAACTGATCGGATATTCTAAATGGTTACTTTCTCGCCTAAAACTTAATAACAGCTTCTTTAAAAGCTTAAAAACAGTTGTGCTAAATCGCCTTAGTTCAGGTAAAAAAACAAGGTTAATATATGTTGCTCTGATGAAGCTTTCAATAGATTTTATTTTTAAAATAACCCCGATGACATCAACAAGTTTAAAACTGGGCTTGAACTCGAGATTTGACATTTGTAAGTGAAAGTTGGAGATGTGGGGTTTGAAAGAATGGGGCATTTTGAAGCCAATACAAGACACCATTGAGTTTATTTACATGTAGGATTCAGTGTTTTGGGGGCTTGACCATATAAGGGACTAAAAGTCAGGATATCTCGGCCCCTGCTGCTTCAATCTTTTAAATCCATCTGCGAGTTCCCAACTACATGGAAGCACAACACTAAAATGTTGGAGTACTTAAGAGATCACAAGTTATTACAATTCATCCAGAGGGGAACATGAAAGTAAGCGATGCATACAACAGCTCAGACATTTCGCTGAAAACCACAAATGTCAACTTGTTGCTGGCTGCACCGGATGAAAACTCAGAGGATGTCCAAAGTCAATGTGGACACCATGTTGTGTTGATTCATGAAATAGTTGTTGAGATACGTCAGTAGCCAACTGCCATATCGAGCCGTGCCTCTAGCGTGGCTAAAAAAAGCTTTTAATTGTTACTTTAGGATTTAAATTGCTAATGAGTTTTTTCCATTCTGTCAGTTAAACGCAGCCAGCACACCGCACTAAAATCTAAAAAGAGGTCCAACCCACGGAGCAGCAACAGCAGTTCTACTTGGCCAGCTGATAAGAGTCTCTTCCTCTCAACACTGCAAATGGTGACTTATTTAACGCATCAATTAACTCATTATAATTAGCCACTGAAATGTGTATAATTATTCCGGTGGCACACTCCAGAGCCGCACAGTTTGGTTTGGGGAGACCGGAGTAAGTTCTCCCCGGTCCAGCTCGTTGACGTCAACATAATACTATTCAGCAGAATCCCAGAATATCTTGTGAAGAGTCAGTGGTGCAAAGAAACTTCTGGGCCTTCGTTCTGAGGCACACAGGTCATGTGAAGAGCCGGTACACTGGGCTCTGTCTGGTCTCTGGCAAGTTCCCAAGGTATTCCAGTCATGTAGGGTGGGGAATTCTTAAATAGCTGTCGTTGCTGTTAAAGCTAAACCATGTATGGGATACTGCAGAACAAACAGGATAATCCCATTGAGTCGTACGTGTGTTTGGGTTTGTGGTCAAACACCATCTGGGGCCAAAGGGAGCATACTGTAGGCAGGGGATAAAGAATGTGAGGACTCAGTCTAAAAGGAGAGTTTTGCTCCTTTTTTTGAATATGATGCAGCAGTGGGGGAGGGCTGGAGTCAAACACAGGATCTGACCTCAAGCCCCTGAAATCTGGAGTTCAAAATTTAAAGGGAAACTCCAGATTTTAATTATTAAAAGTCAGTTAGCAGCCTCTACAGTGCTACTGAATATGTAAAAAAAAAAGGGCATAGAAAGCTTTTTGTGGCCACAGAGGAAGCTGATTGAAATCGGAAAAATGGCCTCAAGTGATGTCACTTGAGTCAGCATGGCTTGGCGCTGAAAACTACAAGTTTAAAAAAAACTCCAATCTGTTGGTGTAGCGTTAGAAAGAAGTGAGCTGAACTGACCTCCGTAGCCCGCTCCTCATCTCTGCTGGAGGCTAGCAGCTCAAGGCTACGTTAGCCGCTACTAGCATAACACAGCTGACTCTTTGACAGAACTGATGGTCGAGTTGCATTGTGGGTAATGTAGGCGCTGGGTTTTGACAAAGAAGAAGATATCTATGGTTCTGCTGGATTCATTTTGATACATTTTTTTAACTGTCCATTGTGAGTCTGCCAATGTTATAGGAGTGCAATGCTACATTTCTTTTTGAAGTATGTCTATGCAACGAAAGATATTCATGACTAAATATGCACAAAAACTTCAATTTTGGAATTTAAAATTCATTGCAACTGCTACAACTGCCGTCACATTTTCATTAAATATCGCTAAATCCTGATTGGTGCAGGGAAAAACATGTTATCACCTTTTTTCAAACTGAGCCCCAACCACCACAAACCAAACTGTGAAAAGCAAGGTCAAAAACACAAAAATCTCTCGTAACATAAAATAACTCCTGTAACTTACGCAGAAAATAGTGCATGTGTGTAGGTTCACAACACTCATAGTAAGAAGCCAATTGATAAATGGGGTTTTTCGGGGCCTTTAAGAAACTGAAAAAGTTAGGGAGTCTCCTCCCAAACCAATATGGTGCATTTGACTAAACCCACTAAACCCACGCTCGCTCTGGTGGAAGTCCTCAAGGTCTGTGGCTGTGCTGGGCCCCTCCCAGCTGTGAATGTGACCTACTGTATCTAGGAGGGTGTTGCTGCAAAAGAGCACACAGAAGCAGTTAACCTTCCCTGAATAAATAAAGATAAAAAAGTCCATTGTAAGTTCACTAATGGGTTCTCTCCTAATGTAACCAGCGTGCTTTAGCATTGTGGTCAATAGCAGTAAAATATACTGAATTATTTTAAGGAATATGTAAAAACAACTCAGTTTTGATTGATGTCACTCTTGCACACCTCTGCATGTGTAGCCTGTAATCAATCATTAAACCATATGCAGCCCGGCAGGCACACTCCAGTCAAAATGTAAACAAGCCCAAAGCAGACAATATCGCTATTTGAATACTTGTCCCAGGGGAAGCATGGGGGTTAAATGAAGGGTGTCTACTTCCTGCAGATAAGTGACAGCCACACAGAGAAGTTCCAAGGAGTAGAGGAAATTATTTTGACAAGAGAGCAGAACAAACAACTCAATAACCCTCAACTGCATGTTTGCCTGCCCTCAGATTACCACTGCACCGCCAGCTCGTGAGGCCGTGATGCCATGTGGTGTTTTCTTTCTTTGTAATCTTTTCCGACAGCCACTGGTATGCCCTCTGGTAGTCTGCTTTGTCTGGAAGAAGAGTGCCGTCGTTCAGGCCGTAGACGGGACACAACCGGCATCGCCGCTTCCTCAGACAGGAATGACATCATGTGTTTTAATGGACAGTCATTACACAGTTGGGGAATTTGGGTGGGTGTGGCCAGATTATCTGATGAACAGTATAATACTCGTCCATTTATGGTTATTCACCTGATGAGGTCAACATCCTGTCTTTTAGTATTTTAGGAATATTTATTTATTTGTTTTTGGTGTACTTTCATTTTGAAAATGTACTTTCCTGACAAATTGTGATATTTAAAGTAAAGAAATCCCAAAAGTGGGACCCCGACATCATGTTCTCTCTAATATTTAAATGAATACAAAACTTGCATAGTATTTAATTAGCTGATTACAGTATCTTATTAGACTCCATACTTTTAAAATGGCTTTATGATTTTTTAGTACTTTTGAGAGCAAAATAAATAAATAAAGGACTAAATAAATAAACGTCGCCACCAGATGTTTTCAAACAGCATTTAAACAAATATGTTGCTGGATGATATTTACAGGATATAAAATATAGTATTTAAAATATAATTGATCAGTTGAAAATGTCCTTTTGTCATCTGATGTATGCATGTCTAAAATCTTGTCTACGTCCCTGGTGGACATGATTGTAAAATTCACTGTTCCTAGCCATTACTGAAAATTATTTGGACTCATTTTTCCTATATTTTTGTATCAGCTCGTCGTCAAGTGCAAGAAGTCTTGTGAAAATGATCTTTAAACATAAACCACAGACTACTTGTGATGTCTGAATCTTCATTTTATTTCTCAGTGATGTTTGTGTGGCAGACTGACAATAACTCGTGTAACTATTCTTTTAACGAAAGCAAAGACAGCTTTTAGTTCAGCCGATAAATTGCTCGAGGTCACGGCCGGCCGAACGCATTTCTTTTGCAGGAGAATTGAAGCCATGTTGCCATGGCAACTCTGTCAGGAGTAGGTAGTGAAGTACCCAAAAACCTGCGGGCAAAATAACTCGTTTCAGACACACAGAAATAGTCAATATTTTCACCAGTCAAAACTCCATTGTGAATGAGCGAAGCCCCAGGAAGAAGTTGTGCCGTTGTCGCTGGAGAACAAAATATTCTTTAATTGCAAGAAAACAAAAGCGAGCGCCGGCCCGTAACGATGCCCGGATAACGAGACACTGAACGCATCATTTCAATGCACAGCTTAAACAAATGGTAAGATTTCACACAGTCAAGTCTTCAGACACCCTGAAGCAGTCTCGGTCTAAAATCACTTAAAAATAAAAAAATAAGCCAATCAGATCAGAGTGAAACCGTCAAAATGAGAATGCTGAAGAGCTTTCGTCCTCCAGAAGAGCTTTTGTTGTTGTTGTTACAGTTGGAGGAGCTCGGAATCCTAAGTGGAGCTTTCTGCAACCAGAGCGCGAGAAAGAAACACCAATGCTGCATGAAAATAAATGTGTTTCACTTAAACCACCGTTGTTATCGACAATATTTAGCTTGCCTTTTATATTTCCATCTTTTATTGTCATCTTTGGTTTGACCAAAAGAGTGATGACATTGTCCCGATTCATGTGTTTGGAAACAAAAAACTGATCACACTTTCAGTTCCTTCAGTCTTCTTGCTCATAATCGGCACGAGTTCATATGACATGTCACATGACTACAAGACGCAAAAATGAAAAGGCTGAGTTGTAAAAACCCATAAAAAACCCCACTTCCTAAATGTATGTCTGTTAACAAATGATTTCTTTCTGGGATGAGAAAGCAGTCTCATTATGTTTTTAACTTCTTTTCTGAGGGGGAGGAGCCTGACTCGCCCTCCTCTGATCCCACATGAGTCCGTTTCAGGCCCTTTTCTCTCTGCGGCCTGGTGTCTTCGGGTGTGACGCCTGCCTCTTCCTCCGATTCGGAGGACACGTGGAGGTTCTCTCTCACGTAGGGTGCTACAGTCCGGTGTCGCCCGTTGACTCCGGGGCTGTGTCGGTTCGGAGAGTTACTGTCTAAAGCCACCGAGCTGCTACAAGCCTCGCCGCTATCAGAGCTGGCAGCAATCTCTTCAGTCCTGTGTCCATCCAGGGACCCATGAGACCCAGCTGGACGTCTTTCCAGCTCAGTCCTCTCAGTCCTGTCACTCCCTTCCTCATTCTCTTGGCTGTCGGGGGACATGACCGGGCTCAGACACACAAAGTCAGAAGGGCTGAGACATTTCTCCTCATCTCCGACGGGCTTGAGGGAGTTTTGTAGCTCGCCTGACGAGGAGGAAGACAGGTCATCGATTGATATCGATGGGTAACTGCAGGAGTCCATGGCTGAAAACAGAGTATGTACAGAGTCGGGTCGATCCCCAGCTCTGGAGACGACGTGCATGCGCCGTCGCCTCACGACGTTGCGCCGCCTCACTGCGCTACGCCGCTCCTCGTCGCCGCTGCTGGAGCTGGAGGTGGACGTGGAGGAGCTGGAGGCTCCGGCAGGAAGTGAAGGAGAGGAGGCGGGGCTGGACAGCGTGGAGTTGTCCCTGGGGCTCGGGGAGCGAGGCCGCGGCATGGGGTCGAGCCAAAACTCACTGGAGTCCGAGTCCTCGTTCACGAAGAAGCCTGACTGGTGCCGCTGAAGCCTGCTTCGTCTCCTCGGCTGCTCCTCCACCTCTGCTCCTGCTTGCCCTTCTCCTCCTGAGGCATCAGGTCCAGCCAAAGAGGAGGACGACGAGTTATCAGAGTCGCTGTGATGACTAGCAGCAGGTATGACGGCGGGAGGTGTCGGCGCGGGCCTCGTGGTGCGACGTCCCCGAGCGTGGAGCTGCATGATGGCCTCCTCGCTCAGGTCGCTGTCGGAGTCGGAGCTCCAGCCCTCGATCTCTCGACGCACCAGCGAGTCAAAGAAAGCCATCATGCGCGGGTCCTCCTGGATGGACTGGCTGACGTAGTCGTGGGACAGACCGCTGCCGCTGTTGAGCACCAGGCTGATGTACTCCTCATGGGTGTAGAGGCTGCGTGACTTGTCCTCCACTCGGCCCTCCAGATCACCGAGACTCTCGGGCTGCTGGTAGGGACTCCACATCTGAGACGGACGGAGAAAATCGGGACAAATGAAGTTACAATGACAGAGGGAGAAGATGGAGACAAAGAGAAAAAAAAGACAGATTTAGAATTGGACGGATGAAAAATGGACGGAGAAGAAGTGAAGAGGAGGAGCCCAGGTCAGTTTGATAGATTCTCTGTTATTGATATCCTCTTATTACAGAACACCTGGACCTGTATCACCTTTCACTCTGTAGAATGTACTAAACAGAGTGATTGTGTTACTGTACAGACAAAGAAGGAGCTGAATCTTTCTTAACCTTCTGCAAATGCTTTTGTGTGCACAGTTTCACCTTCTACTCCGAGGATATTTAGACCGTTACAATTATGTAAATGAGGTAAGAAACTGCATTTTCAGATAACATTAACCTCACAAAAGGTCTCAGTCGGAGGATTAAATTACATTCAAGACACGTAGACTTAGAATTAAACTATAATTAAAGATGGAAAATCCAGTAGCTTGCTGACAAATGTAACAAAATATATTTGCATAAACATAAACCACAATCAACGGGACAGGACGACGATATCCGTGTGACACAACTTGCGAGGTGTGTCGAGTCATTAATCATGTTATCTGAATGCAGAAACAACTACTGGAGGCGTTTATTTGACATTTTGTAACAGCCTCATGAATCAGCCTCTTGTCTTCTGTTGTTAAGACGGAGACAAGCAGACAACCAGACAAGCAGTGACTGACAACCAAAAGTCATCAACTTCATCACAACGCGCAGAAACTTCTTTCCTGTTTTGTAATCATTATTTTTGCAATAAAGATATAGCTTTGTGATAAAAACCTTGTAAAAGCTCATACATGTATACATTATGAATTTTAATATAGTGCTATTCCTGGTAGTAAAGGATAACAGCTGTTCTGAAATGTTTTTCTTGTCAATGAAGTCAACAGATTAAAATAAATTGCCTTTTTTTTTATTTTAAAACTACAAAATAAAAGTTGCAGCCTAGTTAATGTTGAGCTTCAGCAATAATGACAACTTGATTTACTTATAATTCGATCCAGGCGACCATGACTTTAGGAAGCCTGGCAGCAGATCACCGTCTGGTCTGGTTTCTGTGGAACCATTCATATCTTCCCGTGACCCAGTTTCTGAACACTGCCCAACGTCATCCGTTACAGACGACAGTCAATAATAGGGGGAAATCCATCGTTTTTCATTGCTCGCTCCAGCTCAGTCAGTGACTGTGTCGTGTCACTGGAGATCAATGTCTCACTTAAGGGCACGTCCATCCGAGGACAAAGACTCAAATATAGTCTGTCCACTAACGGAACTATTCGTCCAACCACCGCATCGTCCTGACGCTGCGGTGGATTGAGGTTCAGTGATCATTTTCATATCGTCGCCATCGTGGTGCCAAAGAAACGTGAATAACATTTAGTAAACAAATGTCTTCTCTATTCAAACAGCTCCCTTTTAAAGCGGCAACATCACGAAGAGCTGGGGTTGTTAGTGCTTGTGCACATACATCTGGGTGTCTGGAGCGGCCACAAATTGTAAAATAAGAAAACCCAGTCAGTTTTTTGTGGGCTGCCTCGATCATAAAACATGTGATTCAACAAGCCATTGAGATTTGGCTCCCCTTCCTATAATCACATGCAGGCTCATTAGAACGTACCGCCCACAGCTCGGGAACTACTTTCCCAAAAAGGTTCGCTGTATTTTTCTCACAAGCCAATCAGAGCAGACTGGGCTTTTTCAGGAGGGGGTCTTAAAGAGACGTGTGAATACAGGTGTATTCAGACAGACAGTGTGAGAAAAGTAATGTGTTTAACATTAAAGTGTGTACGTATGGACCTGAAGATGAGCATAAGTCTCCTTTAAAAGTTTGTTTCTGTGCTATGTGCGCCAATATCACGGCTTCATGTTGTTGTTTATTTATCATCTTATCTTTAATATCACAATCCGAATCATATCCATATCGTCAGCTACTCTTTTTTTGAGTTTTGGTGAGCAAGCATCAGGACAGAACGGAGATGCGGGGTGTTGGAAAAGACACAACAAACACGTTTAAGGATTTAAAATACACTCAGCAGGCCGACACGCTGCTCCACCACAAACATCTCTAAATGCACTTCATGGTGCAGAGTCTAGAGATTCTGTTTTATAACATCTTAGTTCTGACGGTAGGTTCGTTCAAATAGGCTTCGGCGTAGGAAAAAAAAAAAAAGATTTACGATCGAATCACAGAGCCTACAGCGAATAGAAGATTTAACTCTCCGTAACTAACCTTTAATTAAATACGTCCAAACCTTCTTTCTCAAAAACACAGCAAAGACATTCCTTCACTAACCTTGATGACTTTCTCCACGCCGGAGGAGCAGATCATGTAGGTGTGAGGGTTGAAGCGGACCTGGTTCACTATGGAGCGGTGACCCTTCAGGATCATGAACGCCCCGTTTACCACTCGACTGAGGCCTCCTTGAAGGAAGCACACCATGTGGGTTAGTTTGATGTGATAGTAGCAGACAAAACACATGAGCTCAGAGTCACAGAGATACGAGTCAAGGATTCATTCAAACAAACAGCAGCCACGCAAAGAGGATTATTTAACCTGCTTCAGGGAAATACAGACCGTGAAATACGCCAGTAATGTAATCCTCATAATGTGCCATTAGTCTGACACCAAATAGGCCCAGTGCACATATTTTCAGTGTGAGTAACTCTGGGGAAAATAAAATCCATAAAAGTGTCAGGTGGTGCTACAGAGCTACAAACGGCCACATTCTTGGATTGTTGAATTCTGGGAATTTTCTTCCCAGAGTAATCAGATTTCAGGCCGATGTGGAGCAAACACAAGAACCATTTGATGCAGTTTGATACGAGTAAGAACTCATTCAGAACTAAGACTACAAAAAAACAAAAGGTTGATATAATACATCCGACAGTTACTCAGACCTGGAAAGTATATTCTGACCAAATGAAGTGAGGTGAAACACCGTCTGGGCTGTGGCTCAACAGAGGCGTCCATCATTCTCTCTGACACTGGAGGTCAAGCAGTTTTTTTTGGCCTTCGCTGACTGACGCCACTGAAAGCTGCAACCTTGCAGAAGTCACCAAAGCTTTGTCCTTAAAACAAGCTACTTGTAAGTTTTGTTTACAAACCCTGATTTCCTGATGAACAGTGTGAACTTAAAACAAACCAAAAAACACAAAATGAAACGGAGTATTTAACAGAGAAATGCAACAATCTCACAACTGGAACTAGACGATTCAATCTTTTGTCGTGTGGAGACGCAAACATCGAGGTAAGTCACGGCCCACACATCACAGTACATCCACATACATGTGTAGTCGGTGCAGACAGAACCAGTAACTCACCTGCTTCTGGGTTCTTTGGGATCCTCCACATGTACAGGTTGAAGTCATCTGACCCAGACAAGATGTACTTAGGGGGGAGAATAGAGGGATGTTTAGAGATTTAAGATCATGACATGATGCGACGTTCTGACCCGGACACGGCTCCTGCTCCTCGTCTGAACCGTTATTAGACTTTGTAAACAGATGGTTCCACTTAAAGCTGTCGCTTAAGGTACGTTTTGACGGGGGTATTCTACATACATAACATCTTAAAGCAACACGTAGGGAAGGAACGAAAGAACCTGATAGAAGCACCAGGTGGCTGCAGTGTCTGGCTGTACGAAGCTGTCTTGGCTGATATTACCACAGTACACTCTGAGAAATAAGGCTTCCAAAAAGGTTCCTCCTTTGCATCTGGAGAACCCTTTTTTTAATTTTTTTAAGAGTTCCTTTAAGAACCCTTTTCATCCAAAGAACCCTATTTGGACGAAAGAGTTCTTCAACGATTTGTGAAAGCATTAAGGCGTTACATGATCCTCCCAGCCACACCCCCAACAACTGTGATTGAGAACCCTGATAGTCCCGGTCCTCTAGGAGCCTCATGAGGAACCCTGGGTGGGTTCTAGATGAAACCCTTTGAATATAAAAAGGGTTCTCTGTCAAACCCCCTGGGTGGGTTCTTGTTAGATCCGCTAGAAGGTGGAATGGTTCTGGATGAAGAGGGCTTATCGGTGGAACCATTTCCCCACAGAAGGGTTCTCTGTAGAACCTCTCATAGGGGGTTGTGGGTGGAATTAGGGCCGGATAATTGATCTCCAGTATCATATCGATATTGTGATATGAGACTAGATCTCGTCTTAGATTTTGCAGATCATTATATTGTTATATGGCGTAAGTGTTGTCCTTTCCTGATTTTTAATTTACAGTAAAATCATGTAATTTTTTGAATTTACCTTTTTTAGCCGTTTGACTATTGTCCTTCACCCCCTTATCATTATATCCTCATTACTGAGGATTATTTATCAAAAGCCTCAGTGTAAATATTTTGTGACATCACCAATGGTCAAGGTATTTCATCAAACAACATCAAATATCTAATAATATAATCTATCTTTACGTTACTTGTTATAGCCACAGCCTTTGCCCACCACAACAGGTACAGTCAGAGCCGTGTCCACCGCTGTAGAAAGTCTGTTAAGTTACAGTCAGTGTGTACGGTTACAGTCTGAGCTCCGCCTTTCTTTTCCTAAATACTAGCATTTGGCTGGATATCGGTTGAACACAGGACTTCAAAAGCATCCACGTACAAATATTTAGTTGCAGAACGTGAAGGACCAGAATGTTTTCTCCTTTCTTTCCTCCTCTATTTACACTCATCTCTTTTCTTCTTTCATCAAGCACATTTAAATTTAATTGGAGTGTCTGTCAAGCCTCATTTTACCATCTGGAGGCACAATGAATTATTTTCATTTGTTTTAAGGCCTTGTCGAGTACTGCTGTACTTCTGACACTGTCAAGTTTTGAATTACTTTTGTGCCGCTTTTGTCTGCCAAGGATTGAAACAAATGTCTTCAATTTCCTTTCTGTAAACATTCGTCTGGTCTCGGTGAGTTTTAACTTTTTCAGGGTCTTAGAATCCTCTCCATCTTTGTGATGAAAACTCATACGATTGTTACTCGTATGATCGTAGCTCCAGGGCACACGAGAACACTACACCTGTGTGCTCCGCCTCAGGTTCCCAGAGGACACGTCAAGCAGGAATGTTACACCCATAACTCCCTCCCTTTTACCGTTCCATCATTTCTGTGTGGTTAGCTGCCACCCTGCGCCTCTGCTTTCACATCGCTCTGAGAAAATCCTCTGCCGTCTGTGGTTCTGGGTCTATACGAGGACGTTTGGGGAAATTGTTGCTCTGCGAGAGCAACGGTGGGATAAAGCTCTTAGTTTAAAGTTGGTCAAAGCTTTTTATCATGGCCTTTGTCACGTTGTGTTTTTTTGGATTTTAACAGCCACCCACCCCCCTTTCTTCCTTGTAGTCTGCCTCACATACTGTTGCTTGTATTAAATAATGTTATCGCACACATCTGGTTTAATGTTGCTTCTCTGAAAAACAATACTTTCAAAGTGTGTTACATTGCTCTTTGATGGATCTGAGATCTGTCTCATTTCCATTCATTCATTTTTTATACCTCTTTTGAGGATTGAGCCACCACATTAGCAAGTTGTATTGATTGATTATCAAATCCCAAATGATCCCAATAACTACACCCCAAAGCTTCATCAGTGCTTACGACAGTAATCTTTGTCAAAACAGGCTAAACTTCTGAAATATTATCAGTAGATAAACTTTAAGTCAGACACAATTACATACCTACACATATGAAAGTATTAACTTTAATGTTGATTTGTGATTTATATGCTGTTTGGGGCTTTAACATTGCACGTGTCTTGAGTGCTTGAGGGATACTACATCAGTATTTCTTGTTTTAAAATAAGATATTCTAATTGTAAATGTTTTTAAATCCACTTAAAACACAAGAAATCACCATCTCCGCTCATCACAGATCAATGGTCTTGCTCAAAAGCTTGGTAGCAGGTGGGCAGATTCAAACCAGCAGCCTTCTCGTACAGTCGATTCTGTAACCTTGTAGAGAGGGATCTATGTTTTTTAAGTCTTCCTGAGCTCCACTGACACCTGAGAACAATGTTAACATAACTAACATGTCTGCAGAGTGATGTCACGTCTGAGGAGGACTGTTGGCTGACTTCAGGGGCTTCTGGTGTTCCTCCAACACTGAAAAGTCCCAATTTCACAGAAGAAACTAATACAGCCTATTTTTATTTCTATTGGTCGCACATGTTTCCAATCTCCTCCTTTGTTTTGATATATAAGACCCTTGAGAGCCACAGTGATCTTATATCATATGCAAGACTTTGCTTTTATGGCTGCACGTGAATATAAAATGGCAAATGATAGACATCTCTTCCTGTAAGTAGGGGGATGGTGCGTTTGAAGTTAGACTTTATTAACCAAGTTCCTGTCCTCTCTACTAGTAGTCAGTGTGATGACCCACCTGATCTTTGTCCCCAGCGAAGCAGCAGCTCTTCATGGTGCAGGAGTTGAAGTAGCCCTGGTTGTCGAACTGGAAGCTGGGCAGGCGGGAGTGCAGCTCGTAGAGGACGGGCGGCAGGCGGCGACGCAGCGCCAGCAGCTGTGTGCCGGTGCTGTTGAAGCGGACGCTCATGGCGCTCTGCAGGGACATGCTGCCTCCGTAACGGAGCAATGAGCTGAGAGAAGAGGAGGAGAGAACATATTAGAGCTAGTAAGACGTGTCTGCAACAATCCACCTTTATTTTTTATTATCCAATTAAATCACAAAGCTAGACTTCAGAAGAGACGAGCATCCCAACTCTAATACAGTCGAGTTTGTTATTATATCCAAAATACCACAAAGGATCGTGAATTGAATTTTTTTTTTCTTGGTATTTATTTGATTTTTGAATGTTCATATTTGGAAACGTGTACATTGAGACTTTGTGACTACACATGCTCAGTTAACAAGACAACTCACCTTTCTAGTGGGAAAAAATAATACACTTTAGAAAAAAGTTATTCTAAAGTTTGCTTTAAAAACATTAAAAACACTTCAACTGGAAGCTATGGTTAAACTTAACAGTCCAAATAGAAATGCATACATTAAATAATTTAACAGTGTAACCCTCCCCTCCCTCCTCCCACTGGTTTGTCCTTGGACTGTCTTACTGTTTTGTCTGTCATGGAAAATATATAATAAAATCCCAATGAATAAAAGAAACAGGAAAACTTAGCAGTAAATTGAGGGACTTTCTAAGTAGTAACTGTAAACATGTCCACAAGGCAGAGAGGCCGAGCCAACAGTGGAGGAAGAGAAGTGACTCGGTGCTTATTTTACTGGACTAGTAACCAAAACCTAACCACGCCTGAGTATGTGTCAACACACACTCAGCACAAGTGTTTTCTCACTTTACTGGTAAAAACATTTGGTTTTTTGCAGGGAGACTGTTGTGGAGCTGGCAGAGGACCAGTGGCGATTAGTTTAACAGTGAAACAACAGCGCCCCCTGGTGGATGTGAGCGGGACAAACGTCTTGATCATACAAAGTTACTAACAATGTGCCTGAATTCACAAAAATACATTTTTTTTTGCCACTTCCCAAACTACTAAAGTGAAGCGATCTTAAATGTATTTGACTTCACAATTATTTCAGTCTATTTTACTTCATACCAAGTAAATGCTTTTACTGCTTTGTTAACTCTAATGATTATTGTTTTTATTAACTCCTCTGTGCATCATTTCCATTCTTGTAATATTTCTCAGTGATGCTGCAATAAAAGCTAATTTCCCCAGAGGGAACCACAACGTTGAAGCTTCTCTTAATAACCGGGTCAAGAGAAACTTTAGAAGACGGGGGAAATAAATGTCTTACCTGCGTGGCTTGCGAATGTCCCATAATCCCACTCCCTCCTTGGAGTTGGCTGTGGCGATGAGCCGGGGCTCCACAGGGTTAAACATCACACTGTGGAAGGCCGAGGGGTAGCTGGCCAGGCAGAACGGCTCTACGGGAAGAGATGAGGGTTTGATGAATTAGGATTATTATCATTGTTTAGCTACACAAGAAGCACGGGGACTTTGGGGATCCTGTGACCCTTCATCCATCGTCCAATGACAGAATTCATGACATTCTTATCAGCCTCAGCTGTGCTGGGCTTTGTTTTTGGTGCTAATTAGCAAATGTTAGTATGCAAACACACCAAACCACGATGATGAACATGATGACCATAACCGCACATGCCCACTCACAAGTGCAATCTCACAGAGCTGCTAGCATGGACGCTGAGTCTTGTTTATCTTTGTGAGTAACAGGAAAAGCCTGCTGGCAGACATGGAATACTGATTACTGCTGAATGTATTATTAGGCCAACTCGGTCACAAGGACAGCTTCAAAAATAGAAGGATGTGGACATCATGCAAGATGATCCACTGCATTTTAAAAATGTATCAACAGGTCTCACTAAGTCGCGTCATGAGGTACTTTGCAGCCTTTTCAGTCCAACAGTGTCCCTTAAATACACCCTGTGGCTGCATATGAAGAGCATATTTACAACCAGACAACATCGGAGAAGACACGCTTTAGAGCAGCGACTTTATAACAAAAGGTCCGTGGCTCTCTGATGCGGGGTCCACAAAATAATTTGCGATAAATTATAAAATGATGCTGTATCATTTAAAAGTGCAAATCTACAGATGGGGGCCATTTGCACCAATAACACTATCATATTGTGTCCATTACTCACACCCACGTTAGCTTTGGGCCAATAGAAACTCTGGTATGATTGTGATTCACAGCAATACGTTCATTGTTTTCAAGATAAAGCACGAACTAAAAGCCAGTTTCAGACTGCGAAGTTTAAACACAACATCTGGATTTATTAGAACAATGGCAGTCTTGCTACTGTTCATTTTTCTGAAAGCTTTTATGATCAGTTACTTGAAATGTAGGTTAGAAGTGCTGTCAAGTTGAGTCCAGATGCATTTTGAGTAAAATCATCAGGTCTGCATGTGGCGTTAACATTCAATAACATTGCAAACATCCCCCTTATGGGACTAATAAAGGATTATCTCATATTATCTTAACATGATTCAAATTTCTGTTATCACTTTGAAACAGGTCAAAAGTATTTAGGTTGGAAAGTTTTAGAAAACAAATGGCATCTAAGGGCACAAATGGTAGTGAGCATAGCTTAATCAGTGTTACGACTATACGGAGGTCTTTTGCAAAAGAAAAATCTCCCTGTAAGGAGACAAAACGTCTGAGAACCCTTTAGCTGTGTTTGTGTATTTCACCATCACTAGGACCCAGAGAGGTCCGTTTTCATGCAATTAAGCTAAATTTACACACTGATCTACAGTGTTTTTATCGATCCGGTTCATTTATCCTCAAGTGCGGGAAATTTAGGAGGCTGAGGCAATGCAATGTTTGTATACAACCACTTCTGAATCCATTTGAAGCCTCACACAACGGCAGCATATATTATCAGACGATGAGAAATCATATCCAAGGAGCTATCGGACTCATCTTTTGCAAAGGGCTTTAATTCTACATGCCTGGCAGCCTTAAGCATAAACGTGAAACACAGCATCACCAGGCATCACTATATAAAAGGATAATTATTGAGCTTCACAGGAACACGCACGCCTCCTCCACATACCTGTACTCGGCGGCTCGCGGGTGTCCCAGATCAGAACACGTCCGTCGTCGGAGGAGCTGGCGAACACGTTGTCGTTGACCGGACTGACAGACAGACTGTACACGGCGTCGATGTGCAGGAACACGTTCAGAGTCTCCCTCCTGTGGGGAAGACAATCATCCAAATGTTCATTGTTTTGAGAGTGTAAACACAAATACAATATATAACTGCTGAGTGAGTGTTTCAAAATGTTTTGATGCTGCAGTAATGGGTATGATCCGTCGTATTTTACTCACCTCTCCACATCGTGAAGAATCACCTGCTCATCGTTTCCTGCAAAACAATAAAACAGATTGTGGATTACAAAGTGAAGGTAAAGAAAAATGCTCTGTTGAGATACAGAACTAGTTTAAATGCTGTTGGTTAATTATCTATCAACTAAATCTTTAGATACCATTATTATGTTCTTTCCTTTTGAACTATTTGCATGGCCGATTGACAGTGAGCAGCATTCACCACATGACTCCAACACAGAATAACTTCTCAATTCAAGCATGTATTAAAATTTTCATAATGAACAATATTAATGTGCAATAAAGTATCTACAACATTTCTGCAAGAACATGAATGCACATGAAAGTAGCCATTTTACATTTTTTCCTGATAGAATCTTTTCTGATGATCCCATTTTTATTGATATGTATTTTGTTTTACATTTATTTAACTAACGCAACACCCCGAGTGCTTCACAGTTTTCTCTTTTTATAATCAGATCTACCTTTTACCTACAAGTGACAAAAACACCTGCGCGGGTCAAAGGACGAGGATGAGGAATAAACCGTGTTGTTGTGCAAGTTGTATTTTGTTGCTCTTACCACCAGAGAAGACCTTTTTGTTGGTGCTGTCAAAGGCCAGGCAGAAGATGTTGGACAGGTGCTCGCCCTTCAGTTTCAAAGGCTTGGACCGAGCATGGATGGCTTGTTCCATGTTCCACAGGAGCACCCGGCGGTCATCTCCTCCTGAAGACGAGACAGATCGACAACACCGACTTACAAACATCCAAACTATAGTCTAGATGTAAATATAGTCATCTTCAAACAAAAACTGGAACCACTCTCTTGTTCCAGCTTCTTTAATTTGTTGGGTTTCTTTTATTTAATATGATTATAAACTAACAAGTACAATTTTGAGGAAGTTGCATTTTACTTGAGTGTATTTCCATTTATTCTACTTTATCCTGTTATGTAATATTGGCCTGACATTGGCCATTCTGCATTATGAATAATGTTACGTTTGGTTCTTTAAATATACTTTGATGCTAATACTTAAGGAACATTTTTAATGCATTTCAGTATTTCAATATTGTGAAATTTGCTACTTGGGACTTCTTTTAAAACTGCTATAAACTTAATATCTTTTCGGGCCATTTTGTTGAAGAAAACAAGACATTTAAAAGGCATCACCTGGGAAATGATGATGGATATTTCATAGAATAAATGATAGTTGATTAATAAACAATTGCTTAATCTACATTAGTTAGTTGCAGCCCACACTATAGTCTGCAAATAAGATCTAGTGTATTTATCTTTCAGTCATCAAAGTGTCAGAACTGATGAGGTACATCTAAACTGTTTCACCTACCGATCTTATTTGCAGACTATAGTGTGGGCTGCAACTAACT